GAAGGAAGGAAGAAAAAGAGGAGGAGGAGGAAGGGGAAGGGAATGGACGAGAGAGGAGAGAGGAGAGAGGAGAGAAACAAGTCTAACCTATTTAGTAATGCTTTAAGTATGTACTAAAGAAAGAGTGTTTCCTTAATCATCATCTAGAATCTCAATATAAGGTATGCCAAACCAGAATTGCCCCACTTTAATCTCTTATGGAGTCTTAGTTGATACACATAGTTAATTACTTGGCTACTAACCTAATGGCTGCATTTCCATCCACCAGAGGCCCTCATGAGAGTAGAAAAGTGTGAGGATCTACTTCCAGAAGACATCAACCGTTAAAAACCTTGTAGAGCACAGTTCCACTCTGATGCACACGGGTTCACCATAGGTTAGAGTCCACTTGACAGCAATTAGATTGATTTGGGTTTAATCTTTAATGGCCTTTAGTTAAAAGAATTGCCTATCTTTTGTGGTAAAAGGGTTTGGAAGTGTAATGAACAGAAAGGTGTATGGATAGGAAGGCTGTACAATTAGCACAGCTCTTCTTCCCTTTGTAGCTGTGAACACATAAGTCGTGATCATATATATACACCAGCTCCCTAAGTAGTGGAGCATCATTGATCTCTGGAAACCAGGAGCCCTTCTCCCATAAATCCCTTCATGTGTCTCAAACCTGAATCCTCTAGAGTATGTAAGAACCATGTCCAATGATACAAACCAGCTAGTAAATCTCATTTCTGCAACTATTATATCTGTGGTAGGGCATAAACTGTGTATGACTATGCAGTAGAATAGATAGTCAGAATTAGTCCCCTAGGACGTAACTAAGCAGCCAAAGCTAGAAGTCCATACATCTTAGACTACTTTGATTACTGTTTCTTTGACCCTGCTGATCTTTATGATAGCATCTAAACCTTGTGTCTGGCAAATACTTCCTACCACTTAGCCCCTACCACCAATCAATTTTATAGTAATTGTTGTTGTTATGTACTCTTTTGCTAGAACTAACTCATAGCTGATCGCTAGCACATTTTAAGATGTAGCAAATCACACAGAAGGAGATTGCTTATTTTTCTCCCACAGAATAGCTGATGGATTCAGACTATAAGCCTTAGGTTTGGTAGCACAGCAGGAGTGGCATCTACTTCCTAAACAACATGCCTCTAGAAATTGTATGAACTTTGAAAAATGACGATAGTTATAGAAAGGCTTCAGGTCTTTTGTTCATAAGTCTTTTGTTCATATGAGTCATGTTCAACTCGATGGCAATCAATAACAACAACAACAACAGGTCAACAGAACTCTCTTTATAGCAATCAGGTGTCTTAATTATAGCCGTTTTTTTCTGTAATTCGTGCTGATATATTATGGCAATTACAGAAATCTTTAAGGCTACTGGGGCTCCCTTCCCCAATTTGTTCCTCACTCACGTGGTAAAAGATGTGTCCTCTGAGGGTTCCATGGGTTTATGTATCTAACCTGATAATATGTCAATTTCCCTAAGTCTTTGAATACCTTTTTCTACGGAATCCCAAGACAGCTCTGGTACTTCAACTTGACTTAGTGTAGACCACCATATACTCTGTGCATCAGTGAACCAACCCAGTAGACTATTTTATCTTTTTTTTAGCCATCTTACTGAAGAATCTGTTTAACTCACTAACTGCTGTTGACGCTATGTGTCATCTAGTAAGAACCCTCCAGAGGGTTTTCAGAGGCTATAAATCATGTGGGAGGAGATGGCTATGGATTCCAACTGCTTGCCTTTGAGTTGGCATTGCAACTCCTTACCACTAGGCCACCAGAGGTCCTTCATTAATTCTTAGTGTCCATGAATCAATAAGTTCAGATTGAACTAATTTTATATTCCTTGCAGCTTTATCCCACACTGTGAATAGCTATTCCCATACATGTTCTCCAGGTTTCTGTTGTACATTTTAGAAAAATAGATGAGTTCTTTTAGAGTGGGTCATTTCTTCCTGAGTCAAAATCTGTACTTAGTTTTGGAGGATAATTTTTACAACCAATATAAGGCAATTTATCTTAAAGCTGATCCACATCCTAAACAACATGCCTCTAGAAACTCTATGAGTTTTGAGAAATGATGATAGTTATGGAAAAGCTTCTGATCTTTTGTTCATAGCATCACTATGGGTTGTGCTCTACCCTATGGCAATCAAAAACAACAACAAACTTACCATACACTATCAAAGCTCTATTTCTCTTGCATTGATTATTAAATAAAGTATTATAATCAATACTCAGGGAGCTCTGGTGACACAAAATATAAGGAGGTACAACCTCCTGGAAATGGCACTCTGGATGTTTGAAACCACTAATGACTCAATTCCGATTCAAGGACAATAAATTGAGTTTTTTAGTTGAATCACTACTCAGCTACACACACAGTGCAAAGTGCTTGTACACTATAAAGTGCACAGTGACGAGTGTTTGTCAGTGACTGCTAGTACTTCAGTCCCATAACTAGATAGCTGAGTTTTGAGTAAATAAATGAAGGTGGAAAAGAAGAGAAGTAAGCATGATGACTGAACCCATTCCCTTATGTTATTGAGTTCATTTGGACTTACTTTCATGCAGTATGCCTTTTTCTGCAGTCTTTTTTTGTGGACCACAACAGTCGAGCCACCACTTTCATTGACCCCCGAATCCCTCTTCAGAACGGTCGTCTTCCCAATCACCTGACCCATCGACAGCACCTCCAGAGGCTCCGAAGTTACAGCGCTGGAGAGGTAATATTCCCCTCATGCCTACCCTTCATATCTTTTCATAGGATAGCCTAGTTGCTTTCTTTCCTTGTGAGATCAGATCTGTTTCTTAGTAACCAAACTTTGGAGATGCATGCTTATAAAGAGAATTAGCCATTATGTACTACTCTGTGAAGAAAAATGACTGCCAGCCCTCAAAACTAAGAAAAAACTGATTTTGCACAAGCTATATTTAACTCATAGCAACACTCGATCAGGTTTCTGAGCTGTAATTTTTACAAGAGGAAGTCATCAATTTTCTTCTGTAGAGCAACTGATGGATTTAAACTGCTCTCCTTTTGGTTAACAACTCCCTAAATTGCCAGGGCTTCTCATTCTGTGTAGAAGAATGAATGACAGCCTCTAAGATACCGAATGACCTCCCTAGACCTATGTTAAGTTTATATTTCTTCTCCCTTTTTTTCCAACACATCATTGCTTAAAAAAAATCTGTCTTGTTTTAGAGAAAACTGAAATTGCAATATAAGTAAGTCCCCATGCTTGTGGCTGTGTGTAGTAAGAAACTATATTTCCTAAAGCCTAAGGTGCACATCCTTTGGAAGTGCTAACACTTCTTTTAAAAAATGTTTTTATTTTCTTTTTTTATTAATTTTCATAAACATTTACAGAGATTTTGGATTTCCATTCATTCATTGTTGCACTTTTCTCCCTGCACCCCCTCGCCACCTCCAGTACACTCCTCTCTTTGAAAACTAAAAGAAAAATTTCTTCATTGGTATACAATTCCACCAATCACACTACCCCACACTGAGGGGAGTGCTAACACTTCTAAAGTATCAGTACCTTCTTTTCCTAGAAACTTCCAGAATCTAAGAAGATGTGGGCTCTGAAAGCAATTCTCCCTGCTCCCTCTAAAAAAAAAAATCCCAACAGGAAAACAAAATGATTATTGCAGACTATGTTACAATAAAGCAAAACATGAAAAACAAAGAAACGGAAAAGAAAGTAGGCAAAATATTCCTTTTCTACAAGATACGTCTTTTTTCTGTCTTTGCACCAAAATGGATGTCAGAAGAGACTCTGAAAATTGCACTGGAGCG